ACAACTATTAATAACGTAGTAGCTGCAGGCCTCCAGGAATCACGCCTGACCTCTCGCAGAAAAAAGGAGGCAGCTAAAAGAGGAATATCTGCACTTCAATCAAGATAGACGGCATTTGTTGACGTGCTTCTTTAGAGTAAGAGATTTAATTATCTGAACGGTAGATAAAAGACTTGTGCACGCCTAATGAAGCGCCCAGATTTGGGATCGTTTCAATAAAAGCAATTACAATGATGCCCTCATTTCTAACTCGTACCAACCCCTCATTAAGAAACTGGTGTGGCTTATTTATTTCGCATCAGCATTGTCATCATGGCGTGGCTCTGGCTGGACTCTGATGTCCGGCACTGGGAGCTGTAGGGTCACCGGTTCAAGTCCCCGACCAGACCTAAAAAATATGGAGTGTGGACTGCTACTTGGAGAGGTCCCAGTTCACCTCCTGGGCCCTGCCGTGGTGCCCTTGAGCAAGGCACTGGACACCCCCCTTCCCCCCTCACTCCCATTGCTTCCCGGGCGCTGTACAATAGCTGCCCACTGCTCCTAGTACTAGACTCCTGGTACTAGGATGGGTTAAATGCAGAGGCCACATTTCACTGTGTGTGCTGTGTGCTCTGCATGTGTGACCATTAAAAGAGGGTTTCATCCCTCCCAATTCCAATTCTATTCTATGTGTCTGGCATGTTAGGCATGGAGCTATTTATAACTGTAACACAGACTCTCTCAGTGGGATGGTGGAAGAAACAATACTCCACAATAAGAAAAAGTCCTCTTTTGAAACCTTAAATGTAAAAGTATTATCAACTTAATCCTATAATTGCAGTAAAAATACAGTTATATTTGACTTGTTATGCAAAGAAAATAATAGTCTTGCCATTGAACTGTGAAAATGAACTGCCCCAATGTTGACTTTTTTATGATTTATAGTTTGATCCCATTTTTATGTGTATTTGTTTTTTATTTTGTTCTGTTATATCTTCAATTAAAAAATATGATGTGCTACAAGGGAAAGTAAAAACATTAAAATATAAATAATATATGAATACATTTTTAGTTAATCCTCTAATGATTTTTGGGCAACACATTTAGATTTCTGAAAATAATCAACATACTAATAATGCAGTCAGCACACAAACACAAAAGCATTGTTTGTATCAATTTCCTTTTCAGCCGTCACAGCCATCACTGAATGGCCTCTGAAGCAATGATTTACAATATAGTCGTTTTGCAAATGTTGCATGTCCAGGTTCCTGCTCTATAGGCAAATGTAACAATTCCTTCCAGCCGAAAGCAGCAGACAGACCTGTGAGAGGCATGCTGGTATACTGACATGCCATTCAGAGGCTGGCAGCGCAATTAGGCCTGCCAGTGTCCAAACAGCATGGCTCCCAAAAGAGGAGCACTTCTGCCAGCTGTGCAGGGAAAACAACAAACACAGAGGAGCACAACATTCCAGCCAGTCCAGAATAAATATAACCCCAAAGTTAAAAACAGAAATGTCTGTTAGGTGAGCTCATCAGGAGCTACAGTAAAGCAGCAGACAGACAGACATTGAGATTTCTATCACTTTCTCTCTCTCCTGCTCCAGGGCATATCCCCTGAATGCATCCTTTAAAAAACCCCACTATGGGACAGATCTGATAGTCGTTACCTAGCAACAGGTGGCATGATGACTGGCCTGGCTTGAAGGATGAGGAGAGAGGCTACTCGAGAGTCGAAACCACTGTTCTCCTTCATGAATTATGCCCAATCTGCATAGAATAATACTGACCTGAGGACTGGCATGCATACCAATTAGTACTTGAGGCCCGGTGATGGAAACTTAATGACATCACATTTGCATCGGGCTGAGCGCGAGTGAGTCTGAACTTGGCACAGAGTCAAGCAGTGTTCTGATAACGGACACCATTAGAGTGATGCTGCATCCAATGGAACATGCTTTGAGGGGGAGATACTGCAAACGCTAGCAGTAGATCAATTATACGTTGATTTCTGTGAAGATGAAGTGGGTAAAGTGGACGAGTAAAAGGAATTTGGTTGACCAATGTAAGGTCCATGAATACTGAGTAATATATTTTTACATATTTAAGAAGTACAATATAAGACAAGCTCAAGTTTCATGTGTGGGCCAAATTCCATTATACTCTTAGAATTCGCTGAGGTTAAAGTTAAAAACGGACCACGGGCCTGCAGCCCACCGTAGTTTGGACACCCTTGGTCTACGTTATTTGGGTTTTAAGAGCAGTCTTTGGACATGTATGTAGTCCATTCAGATTTAAGTCAATTTAACATATCACCTTGAAAATCTTGCATTGAACAATCTATCAAGCCCACATTTCTTGTTAAAGGGAGGAACATTTAAACATAATTAAAGACAGCATGTTTTTGGATATGTGAAAACACATATCAAAGAGAGACACAATGGACAAAGTAGTAAGTATGAAAAAAGGTGGCCAATACCATAAAGAAATCGTAAAAAAATGTATTTTTACACAAAAGAAGGATGTTATTTAAAGTATGTATAGTGGCATTTAAACAGTATTATAAGTAGAATATGCATTTACATCAGCCATGTTCACAGTTAAGTTGGTAAAGCCTGTTTGTAATGAAGACCATGTTATATTATGGGATGCAGAGCTGTAAACCGAACCGTTTATCTTCTCTCTCTTCTGTTATAGTTTTGTGAACCTCAAAAGTTTCTGCCTTGTGGATGACATGTTAGCAAATAGAGACGCTGGTTAAAAGAAACACTTTTGATTATCACTGCTTCCTTTCTTCCTTAATAGCAGCAGCAGAGGAGGAACGCACATTAAATAAGGTGTTTGTATAAAAAGTCCTCTCACTGTCGCCCACTCTGACGAGCAGAGATTACAGGGTGTTAACTGGCACTTCAGCAGCACTGTTGTGTCACAGGGAACTAATTATACGGTGAGATTTATTCTGTGGATCCCGGTTTGCCGAAGCATTACGCTCACCTTGACGAAAGGATTGGGGAAATAAAAGAAAGAGGCAAATAAACACAAGTGCTCGGCTTAATGAAAGGGACAAATTATCAAACTGCTACCATAGCAGTGAGCAGAATGTAAGGTTCAATGGAAATGGTAAGAATAGATGCTATTAAAAGAAAGAGAAGAAGAAAGGAGAATAGAGAGAAAGTGTGATTTTCTTCTCAGGTGTTCTGACAGTTTGAGGCCGACAGCATCAAAGTAGAGCAGCAGCTGCTTCAGAGCACATCAAAACAGAACCGGTGTCAATGCTCCGGCCCTAACTAGGTCCAAAATAGTTTGGGTGTTTTTGTTGAGTCATGTTTTGCTGTTGGCCTGATATAACTGATGCCACCTGTTTATTTCCCTCCTCTTCCTCCCCTCACAATACTCTCCCTTTCCTCAGCTCCTCTCTTTTTTGTGTCTCTGCTTAAACTCGGAGAAATTCTTCTGGGTTCATTGAGTTTGCTTCACCATGGCAACAGCAGCTGCTGCTGCTGTGTTTCACAGACACATTTCTATTTCTCTGTAAACACACAATGCAATGCTATTTGAACATCCCTGGTTTTGAATAATGATTTGAATTAACAGCCCACTAGTCAAAACATCCAAACAGTCATGGCGTCACCTGGCATGAAGGTCTCACAAATGCTGCCATAGCGATTAAACACTATCTCATATCTGTTTGATGGTTACTAACCCTGAAAATGATTCATGCAGAAAAGTGGTGAAGACATGAGGCAGAGTGACATGTCTTACATGCCTCTACCAATGTTCAATGCAGTTTGTAATGGAGTTGCAAAGTAGGGGGAGGATTTTAAGCCCCGAGAGGCAAGTAAGAACATTTAATCTGGTAATCCATACATTTTGATCTATTTCCTTGCGAATAACAGGTTATAAAAACGTTTTTACAGGATAATCCTTTAAGTTTCTTCATTTCATTTATCATCAACATTTAAAAAAAAAAGTTTAACCCTCATCATTTTATCATCAAGTTTTTCCACTTTTTCCTTTTTTTGTGAAATCATGTGTTTTAAAGATCTCACCCATGTCATGGCCATTTCCACTGATCATAATTCCATTGTTGAGTTCTACTAGAATAGATTTATATTGTGCAATTTTCCAAACTCACATTGGTTTCTCATACAGCATCTCCTTGTTTAGCGACAGCGAAACACAGCCAAACTCACCCTGAGCACACACAAAGTCACAGCCGAAGTAAAAACAATAAGTGTGGCTTGATATTGATTAAGAAAAAGGTTGATAAACGCTGTGAGAATGGGTCTGCAGAGAGAATTTCGCCGCGATCCCAACTGTCTGTTATCAGCCTGCAGCCAGGGAGGAGAGATCAGCAGAGCTGCCTGCACTGAGTGTGTGTGTGAGGAAGTCCGTGGATTGGTCAATTTGGACCAATCAACGGGGGCTTAACGTAACGACTCCGCGGACTAAACGTAACGGCTCCACGGATTGGTCCATTTGGTTCTGGGTAACGCATGACATCATGCGGTACCCGGAAGAATCAATGGACAGTGACGTATCTCCAACGAGGCGTTTTGGGGAGGTATTTTCTGTGTTAGAGTTTTACTCGCTACAGGGTGTACTTTGAGGGTTTTGACTCTGCAGACCGTTTACATGCATAAAAACCTTCATAACACACAAGGGGACGGGTAATAACCGGAAAAGCATGACATGGGACCTTTAAGTCACTCTCCTAAATAATATAGCAATACTATAAGTTTATCCACAGGTTTGAATTATTAATCTCTTTATTTATCTTGAAACCATGCATTTCTATTATTTGTTATTTTTTGGATCTCCACAATTCCCAAGAGCTTTGATCACAATTAAGAGTCGTAGTTTACTTCTCTTACGTACTGATATATTCAATGGTGGCATTCATGTAAGGTTTAAATGTGTTGTCTGTGAAGGTTCAACATATTGCTGGAGATCTGTTTGGTAAGAGTGGAATCCTCCATATATAAACATATCAACTCTTCACAGTGCACACAGAGCTCTTACCTTGCAGGTCATCATGTCGCTGACCCTCTGCTCCATGGACTGTCCGGCCTTGGGTCTGACCAGCAGGTACAGGGCTCTGACCTCAGGGCACGCCCTCAGCAGCTTCTCCACCAGCACTTTTCCCATGAAGCCTGTGGCTCCTGTGATCAGCACGTTCTTGCCGGCGTAGTACTCCGGTATGGACGCCATGCTGCGGCCCTCTGTGCCCCCGCTGATGTCCGTCAGTCTGGTGTTTCCGTCTGTCGCCTGCTCCCCTAACCCGTCCAGGTCCCGCTCTGCAGACGGCTCCTGTGCAGTGAGGAGGAGGAGGATACAATGAGTGTGAGGGCTGGCAGCCACATTGTTTAAATACTGTTATCAGGAAGTCCTTGTGAAGTGTGTGTGTGAGTACTCAGTGATGTAGCAGTAGCCAAATCTGAACTGTGAATCACACTAATGTGGCAAGGTTGTAAAAGTATGTTTTGAATGAATGTGATATATTTTGGAATAGAACAAACACATTAACACAGTCTGCAAACTGGGAATAAAGAGTCGGGTGCTAAAAAATAAAGTTTAAGACAGGTGGGTGAATGTAAATATTCAGATGGAGCGTTAACTGAGTTTTTTTAACGTGAATGCATTCAAAGTAGGGCTGAACGATTCATCAATTTTAAATCGAGATTTGAAATGATGCAATTATCAAATCGCAAAGCCTGCGATTTTTTTAATTTAAAAATAAATACAATTGCTTTCTTCTTGTGTGTCAGTCATCCACACCAATCAGAAGTGCTGTGCTCCACATGTACCAGTCATTGTTAACCAATCAGAAGGGGCCCATGATAGAAGGTGATAGACAGATTGATCCAATCATCTGCCAAGTATTTTTGAAAGTTCCTGCCCTTTTCTAAATGGCTTCCAATGGAGCTTTCCTAGATGGTTTGGTGAATCAAACCATCTGAGTCAGGTTAGTAATNCTACATCACATGTTTTACATCTATTACAGGGTGAATCTTAAACTGAAGCTTGACTTTAAAGCAACCCAACGGAAGTTTCATGTAGGTTTAGTTCTTTCACTCGTAGCTCGGGCTGCGGGGGTGCTAGAGACGGGAGCACTTTGATACGACCTTCCTAGCCGGAGATATGGCCGCATTTTACAATAAACTTCCGTTGGGTCGCTTAAAAACAAACATTGCAAATCGAATTGCAATATCTGTCAAAAAATCTTGTCAATATTGGGATGTAAATCGATTCCCAGTTACCTTTTGACGCCACCACAGGCCAACATGAACACCACCTGTTGGTTGGGACGTCGTGACTTTACAGCTCTGATATCCATTATCTGACAACCAAAGTCCAAGCACAGGACGTACAACTACAATCATCATAACAATATCCCACTTGACTTACATCTATCTGATCCTAAAGAACACTTTAACCTTGTTTTAGAGACATTGCATTACTTCTCTTGCAATCATTTACGATATTTGTGAGTAAAAGTACTCAGGGATATCCTTGCATGATAAAAAATGACATGGTGACATATCCAAACTAACATTAGTTGGAGGCTTTGCTGTTTAGCCTCAACATTTATTCAACAATCTAAACTCACTGAAACTCAGTCAAAATCAAGAATGTCTCAAACACCTGCTGAAACACACCCAAAATAAAGTGACCCACGCTGGCACTGTTTCATTCTTCCAATGATGATTGACGTGTTTCTGACTCTTATTCCATGACACCTTAATTGGATCAACTGCTATGATAATGGTAGGAGTGTAATGGACTGACTAGCTAAATAAAAATCATGAGCAACGTCAGAATCCACTGCTGGTTTTTTAGTGACCCTAACCCTAACCCATTTTCAGCGATTCCTGAATGTAAAGATTTGGATCATTTGTGAGTCGAGTTGTCAATTAACCTTCATACAGTATACAACAAAAGATGACTTCTACTAACAATGTAGTATTTTCCTGGGTGAAAGCTTTGTTTTATGTTCAGGTTTGCGAGATATGTTTTAGTTACTTTCAGCGCTCAATGTTTTTTCCAGAAGAAACTATTAATCAAACTAGTGCTGCAACTAAAGAGTATTTTCTTTATCACTTAATCTGCTCAATTGTTTGATAGATGGATAAAATAATTGTTTGATGTTTTCAAAAATCATAAGACAAAGGTCTGTTCCAGTTTCCCAGAGTTCAATGAGACACTTTGTAAAGTTTTTTTTGTAGAAAGTTCAACTATAAACTATACAAATATTCTATTTAATTAAAGGTTGGGTAGGTACGTTTGAGAAACCGGCTCGAGATACACTTTTTGTTATATTCCATGGAATGCTCTTAACATCCCGATAGCAATATCTTAAGTGACAAAAAATCCAAATTTTGGAGAAACCAGCTCGAGTGCGCTAGAATTTGAAAATACACAGCCGGAAAAGATCTGCCACTTCCTTACAGAGCCCCTCCTCCAACACACACGAACGCGCACATGAACAATGAGGGCACGAGATAAGTTTGCGGTGGTCCAGTTTGCAGTGTGGAGCGCCGTCCCTCCTGTAGCTGTCGGAAACCGTCTCACCTCTCTCTACACTTGGGGTGACGTGGGACCCCACCCGGAAAAGAGGGGTGCAAAGTAGTGGTGAACAGACCGTGTTCGGACGAGAGGTGGGACCCGGTAGGTGGGGGTGGGGGGTCTACAAGTCGGGTCGCAGGGACAGGTGTACTCCCAAAACGTCTCCCACACACCTCCCATGCCGAACCCTCGTTCAATTTCTGTTGAATTCCCTGTTCTCGACTAGCGTTCTCTCGTGTGCGTTGCCCCCATTCTCCCGGCATACACCTCCCTCTTTTCTGGTCCTTTCACCTCGAAAAGGGTCCCCACTTTTTCGCGTGAACCTGGCCTGCGTGTTGTGCTACACGGCGGTGGTTTATAGTTTCCGACAGTTTGTGTAGCGGAAGAGACCTGGTTAGCAAACGTGGCTCAATACGTGGACTATTGAGTTTGATTGTAGAGTGTACTTCCTCCTCGTCAGTGTTCTAGATGATAGGGAGGGGAGGAGACTCGTCCGGAGATTAGAAAAAGGGGACCGACGGGGAGTGGTGAAACACCGGCCGAGAGAGCTGGCGCTCGCACTCTCTGCGCCGCCGACTCCTTCCACCCTCGTGGAGGTCGGGTGCCTCTAAAGGACGAACGCCCTCGGCGACGGACGGCCTGAATTAAATGCGACGACGACGTTGACACGTCGCTCGTAGAGGGGAGTCGGCCAGAGGAGGAGCGAGGTAGAGGTAGAGGCGACAGATGAGTAGGACGAAAGTGCTGGCTCGTCAGCGGTCCACCCTTTCTCTTTGGTGAGACCATCATAATGTGGTAAAGTGCTTGGTCTGGTGAAGTGTGCGCACGCACATTAGGGTGGATGCATCTTATCGGTACCGGTTCTACAACGCTTAAGACCGACGTACCCCCACGGCAGACTATAAAATTCCGTGATGACTTATCACCAATGTGTATATATGTGGTGTAATAAGGGGTTAAGACTCACTTTGATTAGCGGAAAAATCAGAAAAATCTCTCCGAGTATCATTAAATGTATCAAAATGATCAATTTCGGTTTTATGTGTGTTCTTAGAATCGCGACTTGTCGGTATCGAGACTACATGGGTCGTATAAGGAGGAAACGGTTATTCTTGAGGTACAAGGTTGTAAAATTTTCCTTATTTATTGGGTGATGATCACTGTTAGACTTGTACACGTGTAGGGAGTCTGTGTCAGAACACGTTTTCTCGTGATCAAGCTGTGTTACACACCAATTAAACGTCGACTTTTATTAGGGGTAGACGTGGGTTCATGAATCACACACCACATTACAGAACGATTTTTATGGGTATGGTTCGTCCGTAAAAGAAAATAAATTGAATTTAAGTAAAAACGACGTGGTACAATATCAAACGTTTTTAGCGTTCGCCCTGACTGACTCGGTCGTCACTTCCTAATATCTGCGTGTAATTTCCACCCCATTCCATTGCGAAACTTTTGGCGAGCTCTATGTGACAATAATATAGTATAGCCTGATTGACCTACCGGATCGGACGGGACAGTCGGAAGGTNTACCTGCCTGTCAGCCTTCCATCTCTGCAGAAACTTATCTCGTGCCCTCATTGGTCATGTGCACGTTCGTGTGTTTTGGAGGAGGGGCTCTGTAAGGAAGTGGCAGATTTTTTCCGGCTGTGTATTTTCAAATTCTAGCGCACTCGAGCTGGTTTCTCCAAAATGACCTACCCCACCTTTAAATGTACAACATGCAAAAGAAAAAAAACATTACATTTAGGAAGCTGAAACCAACACATGTTGACATTTTTGCTTGAAAAACAGTGAAATCCATTATGGAAAAAGTAACATAGAAAGTCATAATGGACGAGTTAGTGTTCCATGGATTATCAAGAGTAAGAAGCGGCACAGTTTATCTGTAACAATATGGCTTCAAACATACAAGAGAAGGACACACTTATTGTGGATTTGTTGCAGTTCTGTGCTTCTGTTTGGTAGCTATATTGTGCTGCCAAATATTTACAGTCAAACCCACAGAGACAACAATATAACAGCAGGCGTTTATAGCCGCTTGAGAAAAATGAGACGTTGGATGTTTATTATGGCGGGACTATGGCTCCAGGAAAGCCCTGCGTAGATGTGCAAATCAAGAATAGATAAGTATGGCTGCTGGTTTATCACAGTCGATAATATGCCGCTAATTCAGACTGTGTTTCAGACAGGAGAGAATGTTCACCTCGTAAAATCTAGTCCAGAAAATACAATTGTAGGATACAGTTTGAGGATGTCAAAAAGTGAATTTATGAAAGCATTCTAATAAACACAATATATTATGTTGAGGCACAGCACATTTGTAACTGTATGGCTTTTAACATTTCTTTCTTTAGGCAATAACTGACATCAATCTGAGCCGTCATGTGACTTCTGCTGTTGTCCTCTGTAAGGCATGCTGCAGATATGGGTCTCTCTGATCAAAGCGTTGTGTTGGATGTGTGGGCTAATAGCTCACAACCATGACAATGATGCACAAACACACGCTTCTTGAAGGCACGATGACAGCTTCCTGTCTCTGAGCACGTCAAGTCCTGTCCAACATCTGCTAACCAGCATGTCAAAGAAAGTGCTGATAAGGATGCCACCTACCAATAAAACGTTTGCACTTGGCAACAATAGCACAACATTTAGCCAAGGCTGACGCTGGATCAGCAGCACTTTTAGTGACTCAGTGGAGCTTGTGATTTGTACCAAAGATGAAAAAAAATCCTTCAAGT